TTATATCCTCCCTGCATTTCTTTTTCTTTCTGAACAGCATGCTGAATCATTTGGTAGTCTTGTAGTTGTCCGCGTACTATGAAAAAAGGAGCATCTATAGGCAAGCAATTATAATTATGATAAGCCACATTGCCGTTATATTAATTAATATTATCACTACTTCGTAAATTGCTTCTGCTCTTGAATAATATCTAGAGATGTGCTAATAAACCTTCCTGGTATGGTACGATGCTAATGCGTTTGGTGAGCTTGTAGGAAGTTTGGGGCTTAATTATTGTTGTGTAATGTACCTGGACATATCTACGAGTATGAAATCTGTCAAACTCGTTTGATATGATATACCATTATTGCAAATATAAGCATATTATATCTGTTAAAACTATATACCATTGTAAGCTTACGTTTGCGAAGATTTTCACTAGATGGTCGTGTTACAGGGATCAAAAAATGACTGCTGGGATTGTGCACTCTGTTGACATTCATCCAGCACGAAAGCACACATGCCTAGTAAGATGGTTATCTTATTTTTCCCTTATTTCTTGTCGTGTTAAGTCTTCTATGATGATCAATGTGAGCCACTATCTAATGTTCACTTCTGAATGATCTTGTTGCTTATATTGGAGCGTTGAACATCGTTGATTTGGTTTTGCTTTGTTCATTCCCTTGGCTATTTGCCTGAACCTTGTGATACTTTCTGCAAGGTTGATTGATGCTCTCCCTTCCTCATTTTCAGTCTTGACTTCCCCTCAGATTCTTTTTTTTTTCTTTAATATTATTCCTTAAAAAGGCCTTTCTATTTTTTGTTGGGCGTCATTTTCATTATTTAGTGTTTAAATACATATTATTCTGCAAACAGCCATTTTTTAAAAAAAGGGGCAGTAACCTGGCAAGTTTTCAATTACGAGTGTCATACTGCACCATGGCAATTACGATATGCTTCTATGTCTCCATTTTAATCTATCTATTGCTTTGATTTCACAGCAAACTCAGAAATTTCTGTAATAAATTTAAATGTCAGATTTTTTTTTTTTTTTGTCATTACTTCTGAGTTCTGACATTTTTGGAATTATAATTTTTTTTTTTTTTTACAGGCAGGTGGCTCCTTAGGTACTCTTTTTGCTTGGGATCTCAGGTGGCAGCAACAACCTATTATTCTTTCAATGGCAGGGACAGGAGCTGGCGACAACGAAGTCCAGTCAGTATCCGAAAGTGAGGTTTGGGAGGTTCAGTATGATCGTTGCACCAAGTCTAAAATGTCATCTACCCAGATCTTACCCGCCATGATCTGCTCAGAGGATGGAATCCTTGCTGTCATCGAGCAAGGTATGTATTTAAGTTGCAACATGTTAAAATGCTAATTGATCAGGAACACAAATATTTTACATTGTTATATTTATGGAGTGGTTGCGTTTTATATTCCAAAGAAACTACTTGAAACTTAAACTGGGATTGATTTTTATTCATTTATGGTGTTCATTTACATTTGCATAGGTGAGGAACCTAAAGAGCTGCTAGCAGAACCCTGTTCAATAAATTGCTTTGATATTGACCGGCATAATCCATCGGTAAGTTATGGCAGCCTATATGATTTGCTTGAGGATATTATTTCATTTTTGTTCAATGGCGTCTTGCAATTCATGTAGCCGACCCCACCTAGTGGGATAAAGGCTTGTTGTTGTTGTTGTTGTTGTTTTGTACTAAATTGTTTATCCAATGGAAGAGAGAGAAGAGCACAAAGAAGTAGAGAATTATTTTCTAATGATTTTAATAAATTGCCTGTGCAGGATGTGATTTGTGGTTTGGAGTGGGAAGCAGTAGCCATATTGACAAAACAATGATGCTCAAACTTCCAATCTTCTATGGCTTAGAGTTGTGATTGGAATCCGTTGTATAACGCTAGGTTAAGTTTTCCATGAAAAATTGGATGGAAATGAAGCTGACCAGTTTGACTCTGCTGCAATGTTCAGTTCTTTTGCTGAGCATTTGTAAGGAAATAGATTTTTGATGTTTTTTCCTTCCCGGTTTACAATATATGGAGAAGTTGAATCACGTGGAATCTTCTTGGCAAAAAAAAAAAAAAATTTGTGGATTTTATGGAGAAACACAGATTACATTATGGGAAGAATATAAAAGCAAATAGCCCTGCTAGCACTCAAAAAATGAATTCAATATAATATATAATGCATTAGCAGCTTGTGAGAAGCCAGATCCAGAGAGCCTGAGAGGCTCATGGCATCGATGTTGTTGATGTCGATATATGAACCAATGTTTCTAAAATTATGGGGAAAAAAAAAAAATAAATATACAGTTAGATAAATTACTTTTTTTGGGATTTTTTTTTTTTTATAAATTTCTTCATGGTATCCCCTAGCATGAGTACTAGAGGCTAATCCCTCGAGGCACTAGGGATCCATTTAAAGGGCAAACTTTTGCCAACGGATGTTTTTTCATACACATGATCTAATCCTCTAGTTACATGCTTAAGACACCCAGAGAACTTGCCATATGTGCCACACTTCGATAATCTTGTTTCGCGTGCAAATTAGTGTGGCATTTTTTTATAATTTTTAACGAGCGTGACATTGATTAATATGGAATCATGAAAATACAACTCATTTCTTGGGTGGAAATTTGTGTCTAGTTAATATCAGGTAAGCTAGTTTTTGGAGATTCAAAAAACACCATAAAGGCACAATGAATCAACAGAGATAATTTAAGCTACTTCGTTTCATTTAAAAATATAAGATGTTATTATACATGTAATGATATTTACCAAGATACTATAAATTCAAAGTTGGCTTCATTGACACCAAATTCACTTTTTGTTTTTCCATGTTAAAATTGCATAACTCAGTTTGTATGAGTCCAAATTTTATACTAACTATTTAAAAAAAATGTGTCAGATGTAACAAGCATTTTTTATTATCTTTACACACTCCTTACCGGAGACTAGACTAACATCTCCTCACCCTCTCTTTACAATTACTCACCTTCCTCTTTTGCAAGCATATCCTCCACTTCTAGTGATAATAATTTGGCCCAATTTGATAAGCTAACTTGAATGATTTTAGTTTGAATATCTAAAATTTTTATTATTAATGAAATAAAGTTAAAATTAGATCAAAATTGAGAATGTTAATTTTTTAAAATAAACATTGAAATTGATTATAAAAATAAAATAAAATAATATTTAACAATTTGAATATTTGGGTCATTTTAAAATTATAAGAATTAAGTTAAAATAATCAAAATTTAAAAACTGAATTCAATTAAAAATATAAAAATTGAGTTATAAAGTTCATGTCAACATTATAAGTACTAACTGATAAATTTTTCCAATAGTAGATGCATAAGAGGTGGTGGTGCTACTTGTAAGACGGGAGGAGAGTTATTGAGAGATAGAAAATGGAGAGAAATGGATAACTAGGGCGAGCAAAAATAGTAAGAATGCCTACATCTGACAAACAATTTTTCTAATTATTAATGTAAAATTTAGTTTCACACAAGCCAAATTATATAGTTCTCACACAATAAAAAAAAAACAAAATGTTGACTTGGTCTCGTGGAAGCCAATTTTCAATTTCTAATATTTTGGTAAATATTTTTTAAAATAGCCCAACTATTCAAATTATTAAATATTATTTTATTTTAATTTTATAATCAATTTCAATGTTTATTTTAAAAAATTAATATTTTTAATTTTTATCTAATTGTAACTTTATTTTATTAATAATAAAAATTTTAGATATTCAAATTAAAATCATTCAAGCTAGCATATCAAGTTAGGTCAAATTATCAGTATTAGAAGTGGATGAGATGTTTGTAAGAGAGGAGGGTGAGTGATTATAAAGAGAGAGTAATGAGATGTTAGGCCAGTCATTAGGGTGATGAGAGATTGTCATTAGGGAGACAATGAAAAATGCCTGCTACATCTGACACATTTTTTTTTTAAATTGTTAGTACAAAATTTGGACTCACACAAACCAAGTTATACAATTTTGGTACGGATGAACAAAAAGTAAGCTTAGTGTCAATGAAGCAAACTTTCAATTTATAATATCTTAATAAATATTATTAAATGTGTAATATTTTGGTAAATAATTTTTTTTTTTACAACATGCCAGTCAATTTGCCCATTTTGTCTTGGCTTGATGATTGGAGAAATTTTGTGTGCAATTTTTTTCCACGTTGCTAATCATTTTTTTTTTCAGAATTAAATCATTGCGATTATTTTTTTACGAAATTACTAATTAAGGATCAAAAGTAAGAACGTAAGCATATTTAAATCCCCTTACACAAGCATCTCGATGAATTGTTACTTCAAGGTTTTTGTTAATTGGAATTATAAAGTTTTGTATGTTCTATTCCTATTTTTTTCAGTTGCAATACTCTACAACAAATACAATAATAACAAATTTTATTTTAATAGATAAGATCAGCTATATAAATTATATGATATCATTATGCTCTTTTGTCAATTTAGGAATATTGTTGACTAAAAAGTTTGTTCAATAACTTTTGTTAATGTTTTTTTAAGTATTCCTTCACTCCTCTTTACAAAGTTTAATATTATTTGTTTCATTTTTTTTTATTGGTGCCTTTCATAATTTTTTTTTGTATATATTCAAATCATTTTAAATTATTTTCAATCATTTTTCTTTCAATAAATGTCACATTCATTTTTTCTCATAATAAATATTTTTTCTGAAATTGCTGAGAACTTACGCTATAACAAATCATCAAGAAAAATATTTATATACTTAATTTTATAAATATTTTAAAAATATATTTTCAGTCAAATTAAGATATGTAGAGATATATATTATTTATTTTATAAAAAAATATTATTAACATGTTAAATATTTAAATCATTCCTTTCAACTAATAAATGTGTGTATTAAAAAAAAACAAGAGATGTTCTGGCCAAAAAAAATAAAACACACACACACACACACACACACACACACAAAAGGGGTAGAGAGAAGTTCATGACCCAGCCCGGGTAACGGATAGCTGCGCGGGCACCACAAAGCACAACCTCGCCTTTATCCGCAACCCCAAGTTGTGACTCAAGAGTCAAGACGTAGCAGAGCCTCCCAAGAGTAACAGCCATAAAAATGGCGTGCGCGATGGCGACGACTATGTGGTCGTTTGGTTTCAGGTTTCCTCCGCCAAGCTCTCCTTCCTCTCGTGTCTCTTTCGGCTCAGTTCACTTCGCTCCGTTCAACAAGACGAAATTGACTTCGTTGAGCAGCATTTCTGGGTGTGGCTCAATTTTTCCCCTAAACCAGTGTACCGTATCTCCTCTTTCCCAAAGGATTCGTCCGCTCACCGTTGTATCCGCTAAAGGCTACAAAATGAAAACTCACAAGGTTAATTCCTTTGTGTGTTTGTGGGTGCTTCATATTGTGAAATAGGATTTCCTGATTTCACTTTTTTCGTGGTTATATTGTAAGGAAATTGAATAGATTTTACCTTTCGCTTCTGTTTTTCTTTGAATATTGGGAACTTAAATGCTTTTATTCGTTAAATTTTATCTGAATTTCGTTAATAGGCATCAGCCAAGCGATTCCGAGTGACAGGTCGAGGAAAAATAGTGCGCAGGAGGGCTGGAAAGCAGCATTTGCTGGCCAAGAAGAACACAAAGAGAAAATTACGACTCTCGAAAATGGTAAGATCTCTTTTTATCCATTCATTCATTCATCCATTCATTTTTTTTTTTTTTGGGTGAAAGGTTGGATCATTTTTTAAGTATATTTGATATCACATAAACCTGTTTATTTGAATTTTTTTTTTCATTTTCTTGTATGGGAAGTTAGTGCTTTTCGCTTAGGAGTCTTTTCATTCACACTAATTTCTGAAGGTAAATGCTTCTTTTGATAGTCAAACATTACTTCAACAATATGGCTTGAATGCTTCTTCTGGGTCTGACGTTCCGCATAAATTTACTCGTCTTAAAGCGTTGCAACTTGCAACATGATCTTAAATCACTTAAAAGGCATTATTAGGGACGTGATTTCTTTGACCATAGTTATTTGGCTTTATCCAGGAAGCAACTTCAAAGGTGCAGAATCCAGTATCTGTATAGTATTGATACAATCCATTTAGTTTTTTAGACCGTGTGCTCTTGTTGTTTAACTATTTTTTTGGTAATTTCAATATGACTAGAATTTGGACTTGGATCCTTCAGCCTTAAAACTAGTACTACTGAGCCAAAACTCATTGGTAGATGTTCTGCTACTTTGATTGGCTTCTGCCTTACTGATTTCCATTTGTGCTTGCAATCTGGCTTTGTTTCTTGTTTATCTTGGGGTGCTATTTTGTTTGTTTCATTGTTTCCTGGTTGGTTGTTGAAAGCTTCTCTCCTTTATGCATGCGGAATTGGGGATGGCTTTTGGTTTTGCACATAGAAATAAATTGTGGAAGCTATGTTTTATTTTCACTCCTTACTCGTTTTCCCATGCTTTATTTGATTTTATTTTATTTGTAATTTGCGGTAAGGTTTAACTAGGGTTATTTATCTGTCTGTCCATGTATTTATGTTTAGCGTTGATTCGTTGGTGCATAAAGGCAATGCTAATCTCATTCTCTAGTAATCTTGATAAAAAATTCTTATAATTACTTTCAAAGCTGTCAGGAGTTCACCCTATTGGCTTTTCTGTGAAGGAGGTCATTTGCAAATTAGGATTTGTCTTTTTCTCTCTATATGGAGAGAAAGGAAGTGATGTTTAAAATATAAATCTTCAACAAAAAACTGATATTTTAGTTACATCTATAAATAATCTGTGAATTGTGATCTGCAGTGAAGCCTGATCAATTGAACAAAAACATTAATTATCACATAATTGAGTTGGGTTCTTATTTCTTATTATTGGCTTGCCCTGAAATTGTTATTATTTTTCATCTTTATCAAGTTCATACCAAGAATGGAATTTTTTGTGTCTTGCAAAGAATTGATTGTGGATTTCTCAGGTTAGATAGTGTAAACTCATACGTGCTTATCTGAGAACCTGAAGTTTAGAAACTCATATGAAAAGGGGGAGGGGAGCAGGGCTTTATAAGTTGTATGCCTGGGGACATCTAATTTGATATGCATGAGAAGCCATAGGAGGCTCAGTCCAATTCATATAGGTGTTTAGAACTCATTTCGCTTGGGCATCTGAAGTCAATTTGTATCATATATTGTTTTTATTCAGTAAATCATGACTAAAGTTGTGGTCCTTTCATATTCTTAATTAAAGAGATTCAACTTGTGTGGATTTCTACAAAATAAACAAATCTCAACTATTTAAAAATAAATATGGAAAGATTTTATAGCATACGCATGCATCATGATAGGGGTGGGTTTCTCTCCTTTGCTTTTTTCTCTATTGCAAATCTAAACCGTTCAAATTAAATCTGTATTTTTAAAAATTATCAAATTTAAATTTTTAAATCTAATTTAACGGTCCAGATCTGCACTGGTCTCTCCTTTGCTCTCCTTTGCAAAGGAGAAAATCCAACTCCATCATGATAAGGTCATATAGAGCCTGGGGCGCAGGCTGAACTAGACAAAAGGCTCAGCTCACCGCCAATGAAAGTCAATTGAACTTCTTCGCGAGAAACTTTTAAATTTAGATACGGTTGTCGAATTTAGATATCTGACTTGAATTCACATAAATGGGTGACATTTGACTTGAAGTTACTGTTCTGCATCTTCAAAGTTTTTTTTCTGGCTCGAAGCAGATTGGGTGGGTAAAAATATGAGATTCACAGCTTCCAGTACTGTACAGGTTAGCGTTGTAATGTCTAACTCTTATTTTATGCTCTATCACAGCATGCAGTCAGCAGGAGTGACTATGACAATGTCATTGGAGCCTTGCCATATCTGAAGGTTAACAGACAGGCTAAATAGAGGTTATATTTGCTATTCCCTGTCAAAGACCGTGTGCATCTTCTGCTTTATGTGAAGAGGATAGCTTGTTGTCTTGATTTTCAAAGGAAGTTAGGTAGTTGGCGGCTTTAGTACATCCCCCTGTACTATCCATCAATTGTTATTTATATTCAATTATATTATTGCATTTTCCAACTGACCCCACCTAGTAGAATAAAGCTTCTTGTTGTTGTGTATCATTGCATCTTTCAATCTATTATTGCTTGTGTTGGTTGCACTCCAAATGTTCTTCAAGTTACTCTGGCCACCGGACTCTGTAAGTGGTGGAACCAGAGTTCACAAGAGTTTGGTTTATCTGCAGGTTTTTATGTGATAATCTTAAATTTCAAGTATCTTAAAGTATGTATAAAAAAATGAAGTGTATCTTAACTGTGGTCCTGGGGACTGATTTGTGCAATCTCAAAAACAGGCCGATTCCTCCCATAGAAAAATGAAAAGCCACATGTAAAGCCACTGCCTCTTTATCCTTTCCATCTTCTTCTCCCCCATTGATTTTTGTATCATAATGTTCCACAAAGTCAATTTGGCTTCCTCTAAGATCATCAGGTTAAGCACATTCCAATTCGATCCTCTACTCGAATCAGCCAAATCTTTCACCTTTGTTGTGATTAGTTGTTCTGAGATCAGTTCATTTACAAAATCCATTTGAGGTCCGTTTAGGTGACACCACCGTTCATCCTACCATAACTGCTTGTTGTCACCTTTACTACCATTTCACCTCAATTACTCCCTTCGGTTGTTAATATAAAACATTTTCTAAAAGTTTTCCTAGGTTCTTAATATAAGATACCTTAGAAAACTTAAAAAAGCATTAGTGAGTTATTTTAAAAATGTCTACGTATTCCAATAGGTTCATTTGAGTGGCATGTTTGATTTTTAGATTTAAAGGTAAAGTTAATAATTTTAATTAAGGTTAAGGGTTATTTTTACTTATAAACTTCACTCTTGGGATGCCTGAACTTGACATTGGGTCATTTTTATTCCCGAATGTTTGAAATGTGCCTCCTCATCACCTCATTGTTAACATGTGATAATGTCTAATTTTGGTGGAGTGGGTCCATTATTTTTTATATTTTTATAATAAAATATTAAGTTAAAGATTACTTTTGTCTCAATTTCAATATATTTGCAAACTTTAAAGAAAAAGTTTAGAGACAAAAGTGACCCTTAATTTCATATTTTGTTATAAAAATAACAATAATAAGTGATAGGACCCACTCCACATGTTATGGCAAGTTAACGTGGGATGATGAAGCATTGCATTTTGAAAGTTTAGGGATAAAAATAATCAAAATCGAGTTTAGGGTACTCACAAACTTTAAGAATAAAATTTAAGGGCAAAAATGACCTATAATCTTTTAAGCAAAGGTAATTAGGAAATTTTATATAAATTTTGTTAAGAAATCAAGACTTTTAACTAATTTTAAGTACATTTTTTAGTCCATATAATTTGATTAAACGAGTCTTATAAATAGGTTTGTACTTAATAAAGTCTAGCCAATTTTTTATTTGCTGAAAATCTACCAGTTATTAGAATCATCTTTGGCTCTCAATTTTAATCCGTAGCTGACCTCTCATTGCAATCAGGCTCCACCACAATTTCTACATGATATCTTTCACCTTTAACAGTCTATGCAATTCAAAATTGAATCAGTTGCGTGAATGTAGCTATGGAACTCTAATCACTCTAGGCCCTATTCCATCGTTATCTCTTGAACTAGTTCCATGTAATGTGTAGGAATGTAGATTATTTTCAAACATATTAGCACACGGTTCAGTTAAGTGAAACTTTTAGAAAAACGTAGGGTTTAAATGCTTTTTTTTTTTTTTTTTTACTTTTTTTCAAAAAGTATTGCACACCTTGTACTAATAAGTAGAACATTTTTTTCTAAATCATTTTTTTGAGGAGCAAAATTCTCCCCTTGTTAGTTTGCCATGAACTTAGATGTTATCTGATGATGTGGCAGCAACAAATGGGATCTAACCTCCTTATTGACTTGCCGACATGGCTCATCTTCATCGATTTGATTAATAAGAAGGAAGTGATCTGTTGAATTTACAGGGACATAAAGCATTCATTGATGCTGATGAAAGTGACGAAAACAAGAAGAAGCAAGTTTATTATTACAAGAAAAAGAAATCCAGAAGAAATTAAGCCACAATTGAATCACTAATCATCCCGAGTAACGTCTAATTTTACAATCAAAAGCAAATCCTCTGAGTTGTAGTCTGAGATGCATCGAAAGCGTCGAGTTCCTCAACCCGAGACCCATCAATTCATTCCCAATGATTCAACTTGTGAGCACAAAATCTTTGAAGGCTCCACATTTCTAGGCACTCTGGGCTTGGAACTCCTGGAGCGATGCATTGTTCATCTTCATCTTCAAAGTTTCTTGTTTGCACACTCTTTCATATGCTACAACAATACAATTACCAATTAAGCTTCCCATTTCACTCTCAATTATATGTATTAGATCTTATTAATTCAGCACTATATATACCATCAAGAGCTTCTTGATTTGTTATTGAGTATTCTGCACACCAATGACAATATCTCGAACCTTCTGTGGAGGATGACAAGGGCTCTTGAAAAAGTAGGCTGCCTGAGAGTCACATTTGTTGTTGTCCTTGTCTTGCTCATTATGCAAGCCCTTCTCTACCTTCGCTAGGCAAAGTTTGAGGAGCTCTTGGCAATGTTGTAACCGTCAGCCACCCCATCACGTGGATTTTAAGCGTGTTTATGTTGTTGAGCATGATAATGATTGGTAGCTTTGGCCACGTCATCAAATAACATCTGAGTTTACAGTTAACTCACAAAGGAGGAATTTTGCTTTTTAGAAAAATGATTTAATAGAAAAATTGCCTTACTTATTAGTATAGGTGCCTAATATTTTTCAAAAAAAGGTTATTGAAAGAAAAATACACTTTAACATAAAAACTTATTCTAATAAAGTAAATTACAAATACAACACTAATTTGACGTTAATAATAACAATTTGACGTTAATAATAACACTTAATTGGTGATTTTTCTCTAATTTTTCACACTTGATTTTGAGGCATGGATTGTATTAATCAAAGTTTATGAATACATTAAAATTAGTGCAACTTTTATATATAATTAATATATTGATAGTATATATTGAAAAAACTAGGAATATTATAGGGTAGAATCAGGGTGTAGAAGTCACTTTAAACTTTATATAACACAGCTTTTTTTTTTTTACCATAGAATAATATATTTCAAACATTATTTCTTTTTCACCCTTGATTTTTTTTTTGGGAAAATTACATCTAAGCACTGCTAGAGGATTTTATTTACAACAAGTACCAAATGATTATAAAATTATGCTGCAGAACCAAGGAACCAAAACTTAATTAATTTTTAGGTGAAAAAACAAAATTGCCCCTCAATTTTTTTAAAAAAACTCTTCAACCACTAGCAACTGGAGCTTCAACATCGGTGGCCGGACCTTGGCCACCTTAAAAAAAATAATATGCCTCCCTTACGCTCCGGTGATTAGCGTTGGAGTTCCTGCTACAGTTTGGCTATCACTATCGGAGCTCAAATGGCCGGTTCGAGGGGGTGGTCCAGCCACCAGTGCCAGAGCTCTTGCAACTGGTGACTAAGCAGTTTTTTTAAAAAAATTGAGGGACAGTTTTGTCTTTTCACACTAAAAATTAATTACGTTTTGATCCGTTAGCACAATTTCATAATTATTTTATACTTGTCAGTAAATAAAATCCTCCAGCAGTCCTTGGTTGTAATTTTCCCTTTTTTTCTTATATAAAGATCAATTAAATGACATGAAGGTAGCTTACATAACATAAGTTTGAAGAACCATAAAGTTAAAGGGGTAAAGAAAACAAGATTTGCCTTGGGAAATATTAAAGTAAACAGCACCAAGATTCTCGAGCAATAAACTAATGTCAATTACCAAAGACCAGACAGAATGATGTTTTTGCAAGAGACAATTATAAAGCTTCTTTTTGTAGTAGACCAGAGAAAAACCACAACGATTAGTGAACCTTTGATCTGTCCTATGCTTAATCCATATCAATAAGGCTCTAAAGCAAGACAAAAAGGAGTTATGTTCAATGAATAAAGAGCACATTTAAGTAAAGCTCATGATAGGTTTTAAGTTGATATATGAGAAAGTAGTATAGCAAATACTACTTCCTCTTTTAATCTTGATCATGCTAGCATTTTAATTCCAAAGTAGAGGAACAACTAGATGACAATTCCAAGCACAACTAGAAGGGTTGAAAATACATGATGAACTACTTTTGTCACTTTATACCATACCAATGACATATAAAAAAATATAGTGGCATTGACTATGAAATTTCAGCAATACTTGAATAGGTTGATGGATAATTCCATTATAAAATGTAAGATTCCTCTTTTGCCAAATCAGATTGAGAAGTATAATAATAACTCTCAACTGAAAATCAAGCCCATCCTTGTATAAGTGAGACAACATAGAAACAATCTAGTTAAACAATCCAACAACCTCAAAATCTAAGGAGTGGATAGACAAATCACCAAACCATATAGGTCTAGTATAATTACAATTATCAAACAGATGTATCAATGATTTAGAATTTGGACATCCAAACACATATTGAGATTGTGCATCCAAATGATGCTTTTGAAGAATGTCTCTAATTGGAATTGTTGAATGGATCAATTTCCATACGAACAGGAGGTGCTTATGTGGAAACTTAATTTTCCATAGAAAATTCCAAAAGGAATCATTAGAGATAGAAGTTTCATACCTACAGATGGAAAAGAAACCATCTTTAATAGAATAAGAGCCATTAGAACTTAGTGACCAAATTAGTTTATCATCCAAAGAAAGCAAGAAAAAAAAGAGTTTTGAGAATGGTTTAAGCATCCTAAGGCCTATAGATTTGTTGAATCATATCTCTATTTTAGGTAAAGGAAGAACAAGGTGAGTTTTTGTGTATCATGAGATCAGACACTAAGCTGATATCGAACCTATTAAGCAAATTACAATTAATCAATTTCCACCAAAGCCCATGATCAATCAAAATATTAACTCTAGAACCTATTTGCCATTTCATATTTTTAAGAATAATGTCCTAAGAGTCTAAGACACCCTTCCAAAACCATGACACACTATAAGGTTTTTATTAGTTTAATTTAGTGTGACTAG